AATTAAAGAAGTAAACAAAAATAAATTTTCGTATAAACAAAATCTTATGAAAATTTTAAAATACAAAGATTTCCACAGACTTCTTTTTAAAAAATATATATATATATATACATATATATATACACATATATATATATATAATATATGACATAAAAATAAAGAATTACATTTTGATACAGCAAAACCTATAATTAAACAAGTGACGCATTTATTTTCCTTAATCCCATTCCAAAGATTCCATTCCAAGATTAAATATGATATAAATTAATGCAAAGAAAAAATATGTACATTTTTAAAAATATCTTTTGAATGCATACAAATAAAAAAATTGTCGTTGTTTACAAGAAAAGTACAATAACAACGATCGACTAATCTTATTTTACATATATACATATGCATATAAAATGCAATACTATATAATGATTATAATTAATTTTTGAACACACACAGCATCAAGTTTAACATAATAGTTTGTAACTTATTTATTTGATTGATTGCTAAAATAAATTTACAACAAATAAAATAACTGACATAAAATCCCATAAGTTACGTCGCGGAACATAAAAACTTTTCAAATTATATTATATTATATTATATTTCCATTAAAATTTGTCTATAAAAAAGATACTTGCATATAAAACATATTACAACTAGATATAAGTGATGTAACAATAAATATAAATATAACTGATAAGGAGCTTATAAGTCACGCATGTTTTTTCGCGCAGTAGTTATATTTAAATGTATATATAATATATAAACAATAAATTATATTTTCAGCCGAAACCGCCACTTTCATGTGTTAAAACGATAAAAGAACAAGTGCATAATTTAAAGTAATGATAGAGTGTCAATATGATGAAACTATTATTAACGCGATAAGTACAAAGATTTCTACAGATTTATCTATGAAACATCTTAAAACAAATAGAATTATCTAGATGATGCTATTTATAAATACAGTCATAATGTACTGTATGATGATTCAATTTTCTTGCCATTCCTTTTTTGTTATCTTTGCAATCATTTCTATTTCATATAAACATTGTGCAAACACAGAGTCCCAGGTATAATTTAAGATTATTATAAAATTAATATAAACCGCTAAATTATTACATAATAAAGAAATTTTTTTAATAAAACAATAACTGTGTTAGAAATAACGATTATTTCATAATTATATCGAGTTTAAACATATTTTTCAAAAATTACACACCTTCCTTTATTTGCCTCTTTTCTATAATAGCTCTTCCGTCTCAGCTCTCTCAATATCTTATTCCTTTCGTAAATTTTCTTTAATTTTTCGTATGTCATTTAACATTTCTGTTACAGCTTCTTTATGGTAATAAACGGTGCATTTCTTCAAAAACATTTCCGGGTTTTACTCGAATTTTGTATAAATTCGGGATACGGTCCGGGTAAGATCGTTGCAATACGTGCTCAATTCTCTTCACGTTTACCGGTCCGTCGAGCTTGTCTCGTACGACTAGCGTCTAACAAGCCGATAAGCCGAATTAACCACAGTTAATGCACGAGGGATGTGGGCAATACCGTCCCAGAAAGTGGGATTGCCTCACGTCGCGTCTATCAGCCAAGCGTTTGCACACTTGTTGTGACACAGACTACTGTGGTTCGCAAAGTATTGTGATTATGAAGGCCTCGTCGACGTTAGACGCGCGCGCGTTATAGGCGCCAAGAAGCGCCAGCCGTATTCGCAATGGTCTCACTGTCGGGCCCGTGTCCACCGCGTCGGTCGTAGCAAATTACTTCTTCGCGCAATTCGCATTGTCTCTTGCATGTAGCATGAAGAAGCTACAGCCGAGATAC